AAACTCAACAGACACACTAATGAGGCTCTGCAGGGATGCCTATAGGGACTGTTGTGTTGGGAAAAGGCGAAGTAGGAGGTAGAAAGGAGGTAATGTGGAAGGTTAAAGATATATATGTAAAGCTTTTATCAGCACACACTTATTTTATTGGCTTTTAAAACTTGGTTAAATTAAAGCATACGTTTACTTTTTTATTGTACAATATAGCAATACTATGCTATTTCTTCGGAAGTAATTAAATGTAATTCTAAAAGGGAAAAAATTACCATACCAAATCCCATACTTAACTCTATGGGTTGTCCTGACATAATATATTAGCTAGTCATGTCATGCTGTGTGCAAGACTTTTTGTGTTGCATCTAATGACCTTAGCCCCACATAATACGCAGAATGCTTCAATTTATAAGCATAAAGTGGAGAATCAAAAGAACTATTATATCTCCCTATATAAAATGCATTTTTATAAAAATTTAAGACAACTAAAATTCAATATTTATGTTTTCCACCTATTGTAAAGCAAGAACATCACTGCTTGAGCTTTGTGGTAGCTGTTTATTTCAAGTATCCATATTTGCTTGTAAAGTCAGACCGTACAATATTTTCGGTATTCAACACTGTTGACGATTCCTATTTGATGAGGTTATTTTTGATTATGTAACCACCAAATATACATGCAAAAAAGGCAGTCCAGACACTCAGATTATTGTGTCAGCTGTATAACCTGTGCAATCCTTTCAAATGAACCTGGAATTTCCCTTCAATATGAGGTAAGGCATAAAATAGGTAATTAGTCACCATGTTGTCTGTTTACATTTGCAGACGTATGCATTTCACCTAGTCTCTATTTGTTATATGAATTAGCAATTTATTTATAATGCATTACAACACCTATTTAGTCATATAATCATTAAAGGAATGTTATTTAAATTGAATGGTGTTTTACATGGTTTGTAAAACACACTGAACCCATGTTGTCAGGATAAAGCAGTTGTTGCTGATACTGAATTAAAGCCAAGGTGCTACTACCACTGCTACTTAAATCAACAATAAGAGCTATACCTTTCCTTTCCCTCTTTAACCCTTTATGGTTGTGGAGAAAGACCCTTAACCCCACACTGCTCCTCGAGTGCCACACAGTGGCAGCCCACTGCTCCCTCAAGGGGATGGGTTAAATGCAGAGAGTGAATTTCCCCATTGTGGAACAATAAAAAGGGATTTACATTAATTTAATTCACATTTAAACATTGATGCACATTTCCCGGTCAGCTTGTTAACTTTTTTCTGTAAATATAAATTTGAAACATTTCCAGTACCCTTTTCTTTTTACAAATGAGGTACTATTTTTCAAGTCCTTTATACAAAGCTTTATCATACCTCAACAACATTTCTGTTTATAGTCCAAAACTTTTTATCCGTGTTCTTTTCAAATATTTATTTGATCCCTGTTTGATTTAGAAGCATTCAAACTCCTCATAAATATTATAAGCAAAAAATGTAGAACTCGGCCAAGTCTGGATCCCATCATAGAAATGTAGTCGTTAAAACAAGATAAAATTTCAACCAGGGAAGTTTGGAGTTATATCAGTAATGCTCTGAAATCAAATGTTTTATCTCTGAGATGCAAATTCACATTTGTATTAAAGTTTGTGTTTGATAAGTTGAGAATCTGCATCTGTTTTGTTTTTTTGTTTGTTCCAACCATCATCTTATGTACTGATCTGATATTTAGATTGGATATCTGCTCTGATGTTGACTAAATAGCTGGGTCTGATATCTGGTAAAGGAAGCTGATCCAGTACTCTGATCCAGCAGAGCAGCCAATGATGAGCAAACACAGAGCAACAATGTGCAACCTGCGGATCGAGCCAAGTCTGCTATTTGGAAACATTTCAAACTTAGTATCCCAACAACAACAACTGCAATAAGCAATGTATGCTGTTTGAAAATTATGAGGGTTGGTGAAATTCTTGGTAAACTAAATGCCACAATTTTTGATAAGCGCCAACAAATGCACTACGCTAAAGGACACATGGAGCCCTGAGTGACGGCGGCTGAGAGTACAATGAGCAACAATGTTTATATCAAGCCTCATGCCTTAAACCACATGGCAAGGTATACGGTTTATTCATTCAGAAGTAACATTGGATTGTTAACAGGTGTCGGCCTGTATGCTCAGCCCAGCATATCAACTAAAAAGCAACTAATTAACTCCAAGTGATAATATTTCAACTAAATTATTCAAGTCAAGTGTTTAAGTGACTTTATCCAATTTTCTACTCTATTTTAAGGCAGATATGTAAATTGTACTGTGTTGCATGGAGCACTTTATCTACCTAAAATAATTAGATTCAACTTGCATTAAAGCATGTATAGATTTATAGCTAAAAATCTCAGAAACAGCCAGACTCTAGATTCTGAAGACTCTCTGTAGTAATGACATTCATGGATGCTGAACTCATTTGGCTCTAGGCAAAAAAAATGGAAGGTCATCTGTTCAATAGCATGCTGGGATGCCAATAATAGCTGGTAGCCCAGTAACTTTGTGTGTGGGTGGTGTATTTTTTAAGCTGTGTAAAGCTCAGAGCAGCCCAGTGGATCTGTGTGATCTAACCAGTAAGAAGCTTATGTCTGCACTAGTAGTAACTGGTCTGAAGTCTAAAAGAAACAGGGGCTCACACCCATGCAAATAATTGTCTCTGAGACTTCATACCTCTTAATATACTGTAATGCACTTATTTCTGATCTTGTACTTTGAAATTGTCTGTTAGTAAAACTGATTGATTTCTTTCACACGCCCTTGTATCAAAAATAAATTTTTTCCAATAAGATTTAAAAAAATGTGCTGCAAGACATTATAAATGCCATCTCAAAAGCATGTGATTTTGGTTACACAGAAATGTCTTAGTAAATAAATTACCCATAGTCTCTCAAAAATGCTTGAGCAGCTGATTTATGGTGTCCATAAAACAAAAGACTCAACCACGGCAGTGCAAGCTAAAAAAAAAAAAAAGTATCAGACAGATGGTGAACAAGACGGAGAGAAAAGACAAAGACAGAAGGTTTTAGATCATCTACTGCAAGGATTGATTAATATAGGCTATTAAGCTATAACACCAGATCATAGTTTTGTCCCTCTAGCCATATTACAGTGACATAATGAAGCGCCTGTATTAGCCATGGGAGAGTGCTAGTGATGCAGATAATAGCCACATCCCAGGAGACCCTCAGAGGGAATTAATGCTGCTGTCTGAGGCGCGCACTAGTGTGAATGCAGATACAAAGGCCCACACATGAATGCTTGCAGAATAATTTACATGTTTGCAGACATGGGCAGAAATCAACTTATAATCACTTTTGGGGAATTATTAATAAAATTAGATAAAATCTTAGATCTAACTGTAACCATTGACAAAAAAAATAAACAAATCTTGTAGGGACTACTGTAGCAAACTGCAATACTTGACTCCTTGATTTGGTGGTGATTTGATGGTGAAATCGTAAAAAAATTTTCCTCACTCTGATGTGCAGATAGGAGCGCGCACACACACACACGCAATCAAGTTCCTCTATCCTCGTGGGGAGTTTCCATCGATTTTAATTCATTTTTTTACGCATTTCTGCAGCCAGAGACCTTTACCCTGCACCTAACCATTATGAGTTCACACCTAACCCAACCTAAACTCAATTTACACCTTAGTCCAAACAGGGTTCCCTCTAATTTTTTATGCTACTGCGCATACACACAACCCCCCAGAGTACACTGAGAACCACTGTGAGCAACATCAGATGTGCACACTGAGGCCACACGCGAATTATAAAGTAGTTATACACCTGGGATCATAGAAAGTTACATGGTTTACTAAAAGAATATGTATTACAGCAGTCATTTTGATTAGTTTACTTTTAATTTAAGTGATTTGGCCCACTTAAAGATAAAAAAAAAACAAAAAAGAAATCTTCATGAGATGTGTAGTTTGCTATATATTTAGGTCTTGCTTTGGCTAGGATGAAGGTTCTGCTCTGAAAGAAATAAGACATTACATGATTCAGATATAACTTGTTCCCATAAGATAGTAAAATTTTTTACGATGAAATGAAAAGCTTGTGACACTGTATAGATTCCTGTAACTCTACGACAAAGTATAAACAGTATAAACATTTCATGATTAATATCCATACAGTTAAAAACCTACATGTCACTAGAATTTTTAAAAATATGATTTAAATCTATTTTCTCTATATCTATCTGTCCTAACTCCAATATTTGTTCAAATATGCCACTTAAAGAGCTTTATGGATGGTGTTTGGATACCATCCATTAAACTAAATCTTCTTTCACAAACAGCACTGGATCCTTGAAATGTAGTGCAAATATCCACAAGCTGTAAGAGCTCCTTTAGCTCCTCACATATAAATAATAATATTGATCTCACATTGGAGAAATTTACTTTTGGGGAGCAGTGGGCTGCCATCGTGGGGCGCCCGGGGAGCAGTGTGGGGTTAAGGATCTTGCTCAGGGACCCAACGTGGCAGTCTGTGGGAGTGGGCCTCGGAATCAGAACCTCAGGATTCCAAGCTCTATGCCCTAAGCACTAGGCTGCTGCTCCCCATCTAAATGCTGCAGCCCCCACATCTGAGAGTGTGCTGATTGACCCGTGTTTACATTTTTGCTTTGTTGAACTGTTTTTAATGACGCTGGGATTTAATTAAACATATTCATCCATATAAAACTCTTAAATGCCTTGATATTTATCCTAAAACTGATTTGATGGAGATGCACAAGAGCAGCTTATTTTCAAGTAAAGCCACCTTGCACCTCAAGCGTTTAGCAGGATAACGTAATTTGTGAAAGTGAGATCAGTATATTTCCTATTATTTTTTCCTTTACATATTTGAAAATTTGTATTTATAGTAGAACACTTAAAAAAATAAGGAAAAATTAGTTTGACTTAAAGGAGTTGCCCTAGATGTTTACTTTGTCTTTCTTTTCTTTACCACAGTGGGAAGAGATTGGGGAAGTAGACGAAGACTATGCCCCCATCCACACCTACCAAGTGTGTCGCGTGTTGGAGCAGAACCAAAACAACTGGCTTCACACTAACTGGATTTTAACTGAGGGTGCCCAGCGAGTATACATCGAACTCAAGTTCACACTTAGAGATTGCAACAGCCTGCCTGGTGGGGTCGGGACTTGCAAGGAGACTTTTAACATGTATTACTATGAAACGGACGGTGATGAGGACGACATGGAGGACGGCAAGATGAGTGATGGTATTGGTATAACTGAAGAAGAAGACAGGGCAATGAAAGAGAGCCGATACATCAAAATTGATACCATAGCAGCTGATGAGAGCTTCACCGAGCTCGACCTGGGGGACCGTGTCATGAAGCTTAACACAGAAGTCCGCGATTTGGGTCCTTTGACCAGGAAGGGTTTCTACTTGGCCTTTCAGGATTTAGGGGCCTGCATTGCTTTAGTGTCGGTGCGGGTATTCTACAAACGCTGCCCCTTCTTGGTGAAGAGTTTGGCCGAATTTCCTGACACTATTCCTGCCTCGGAGGCCTCACAGCTGGTTGAGGTGGTTGGCCACTGTGTTAATAACTCTGTCCCCTTATATGAGCCACCACGGATGCACTGCAGCACAGAAGGGGAATGGCTGGTGCCCATTGGGAAGTGTGTTTGCAAACCAGGCTTTGAGGAGATCAGCGGATCCTGTCAAGGTAAACTGTTTAGTTTTTTTTTAGAGTGGACATTTTTAGTGTGAACTAAAATTGTGGTGTTGTATCGGCGAGAACCAACAAATAGGAGAGCTACAAGTTTATTCAACTATTGTCACCCATTCCAAGTAGGCAATAAAAAGTTGTTCTGGATTCACTTTATATTAGTCTTTTTCACAAAGGTAGGCAGCAGCTTGACAAAGCAATGATGGCAATTATTTTACATCCAAGTAGTATGCAGTTATATATATATATATATACACACAACAGATGGTATTGGTATGGTATTGGGGCCAAAAAATGGCATCAGCGCAACACTAGTCATTAATCCTACAAACATAAACTGAGTCACTTTTATAGATTTTCATTAACTTTCAGTTTGTTTTTTATATTTTTTATAATTTTGTCTCCAAGAGTTGTTTTCCTCTGTATGTTTTCATAGCTGTCTCCATCCTGTTTTATTTTCAAATCCACCGTCATGTTTATTTTTAGTGCTATGTGCTCAAGTTTATGCACAGATTGGCTTGTTCTGTTAGTCAGTGTGTTCCTACTTTATATGGGTCTGTAAGAATGTGTGTTTCTCCTTCGCTTAGTGCAGGGCATTCCCTTGAGCCCTACAGCGCTTTCTGCAATCATAAAGCCACTGTTCTGCCTTGACTGCTACCCAGACATTTCCTGCTCTAACGTTAACTCCCTATTCCACAGTCTTCCCTACCCGCTGATGTTTTTTTTCTGTTTCCATCCCATCTAATACCTTTTTTAATATTAATGCACCTACTTGCATTAATGAAACTAATGAAATCTTATGAAACTCACGAAAGCTCTGAATGAAAGGGAGAAATTTGTGATATTTGATTATTTGGTGGAATTTTATCTTTTTATCTTTAAACAAGGTTTTGTTATGTAAGCTTCAGTTTCAGGTGATGAACTGAATGATTTGTCTCAGATCTGCAGCTACAAAATTAATTTTTTCAAAATGGGGAAAAAAAGAAAAAATGCTTTATAATTTTAAGAGGTAATCTGATCTGTACCTGCCTTTGGAAATTAACATACAGTTTTTTATAGGATGGCTTTTGATGACTTTATCAGTTAAATTGTTTGTATGAGCATCAATCTGATCTTACATGACCTCAGTCCTATTTTATGGTACAGGTTCAGTTGTGTTTCTTTTAAGAAACATGCTTAACCAATCTATTTATTGCTTCATTATTATAATCTAGATTTCTAAGTCAAATATTTACATAAAGAGGCAGTTGACTAAGAAAAACATCACAATAAAATAAATCCTAACACTTAGATTCCAACTTTTTTTTTATTAAATATATGTCTTTCAACTTGTTGGATATTGGAGAAAGGTTCCATCCAAATCTGTGCAGGGGTAAAATAGTACACAAAAAACAAGGTTTGGTACTTAGTTGGGAAATCAAATGTCGGCACAACTTAAAAGAATATAGTATAGAATAATGTAAAAGAAAACAAAAAGAAAAACAATCTTAATAGTCCCTGGGGTGAAGGTAGTTCCAAACTGAACATTGGTAATCCTCAGACCCAATGGCATCTTCCCCTACTCAATCCCAGCATCTGTCTAATTTTCTCTCCATACTCTCATGTTAAAACATGGCTACTGTTGATCAGAAAGGTCATTTTCCTTTTCACTTGTATTACATCAACAAACATTGACTTTTTTACTGGCAGATCATTAAAGGGAAGCTTTTAGTAGGTTGACTGCAATAATGCTGCCTCTAAGTGTGCAGCCAGCCAGGCATCCTTTCCAGATGTATGATCCAAAAGGCATCCATCATTTATACCCACTCCCTGGACTGATTCTTGGTCCATCAAAGCTCACTACATACACAGAAAAAGCAAAAATATGCACATACTGTATGCCCTCATAACTTAAGAGATTGAGAAAGGCAAAAATTAACCTAACAGTCATGTTTTGGATCATGGAAGAAGACTGGTGCAACCGAAGCGAACAAAGGCTGTTTTTGAATCTGGCGGCTGTATACTCCAAAGGTCCAGATTTATTTGCCAGTTACATCCAATCGTGGAGCCGTGGCCTTTTCAGATTGAAAGGCTTCTTCGTATGTGGCTCACAAATGCTGCCTTCTTTTCGGCTGTTTGTAATGACAAAACCCCTGTATCCTGCATGGCCTTGGATATTCATTGCGAAGACAAGCTAGACGGCTGCTCCTTGCTAAGAAGAAAAAGAATGGTGACTATTGTAAGTGAAGTTTAATATAATACAAGTATGTGAATAGTTTTGTCTTAATTGATGAAAATAGTCAACTTTAATGGTTAGTTGGTCACATATGTTATGAATGTATGAATGTTATGGTAATGTTTGGATTATTGAAAGGTTTTATATGTCCCTGTGCAAAGGTGTTTGCTCATCTTTAAGCACAGAATCCAATATCTCAGAACAGTAGTGAGAAGCTTGGCATCCATTCTTTGCCTGCTTTGTGAATCAACTGTCGTGGTTGCTATGTGACTGAGTGTACGCTGAATGAGGGTTGGTGAAAGCCAGAGAAGGCTGGACCTGTTGGCCAAACTCTTCTGGCTTTCTTATTTTCACGGCCTATGAAGGACCCAGTCCAGGCAGACCGGGTCCTTTGGAGGATGCAGCTGTGGAAAATTAAAGACAGCAAGAGACTGGTGAAAAGCTTTCTACAATACATACCAAGTGGTAAAACACAATATTTAACTGTAACAAAAAAACTGAACAAAACCAATCAAAACAATAATGATATACAGAGCCAAGTCAATTTCTCATCATACCTACGTTTTTGGGATGCGGTATTCAGGATTTAAAAAATATGCAACTTTTATACACTTTGTAGAAATTATGTTTTGTTTTATACTGTTTATGGCTGGACTTGGATTGCATAGCCAGCACATTAAAGATGAAGAAAGGAGGGAATACATTGAATGACTAACAGGCTCGCTATGGTGAGAACATTAAGGAAAGAAAGTGTTTCCAAAGACTGCTGAACATCTCAGTACTGCTAAGAATACATTTTATTAATTTTCAACACATTTATGCACAGTTTAAATAGCTGAAAATGTAAACACTATCTCATTTTCTAAAATTTTTTGACTTATTGCATGAGCCATAGTTTGAACAAGCGCATATAAATTTAGAATTTCCTTTGGCCATATGGTTAGAGTTTTGATCTCTTATTTTTCTACCTATGCACAGCTCTCAGCAAACTTTGTGAAACACCTGTGCTTTAGTCGTTAGTAATGCTCATGCTTTTGTAAACAAACACAAGCAAGGTCATTGTCAATTTTAGGTGATCACTGGTGCAAATGGCATTTTTTAACCTGGAATAATTTTTTTAAGGTAGAGGAAAGCATAGATTATTTATAGAAAAAAAAAAAAAGCCACAATTGTCACTTTTCACGATTTCTTTATTATTAGCACTTACTACTAGAGCACTTTATTGGATAAAAGAAAACATGGTTGTTGAGTCAGTTCTTGTTTATTTTCTTTTACCTGTGGTGACAGCAGCAGATAGTAGTGTACACCATTAGGTCTAATGAGATCTCCAATATATTTAAGACTTCACGCCCCATTTAGTTAACAGATTTCTATGGCAACAATACATCGCACACATGGTCCCCCAGCATGCCTCAGTTATACAGTATTTATTTCAAGCTCTTACAATGGATATAACTCAGACAGTTTTATTCTTGCTTGTGGAAACCTGTTCAGTATATATTTTTAAAGTGTAAGAACAAAAGTGAACTCAGCTGAAAAGGATGGTCCAGAATCATGCAGTAAAGTAATGTGTGGATTTTGTGAACTTTTCCAAGATGCAATCCCAATCAAAAAAGGCTACCTAGAAAAAACATCTTTAAAGCATTCCCCATTTCATCCTTTTACAACAATATTTTCTCTTAGCTTTAATTTATTTTGATTAAAGAAAATGGCATGCCACTGTGTGATTCTGTCCTACGGTTTTGTAACTAGCACATTTATTATACTGGTGAAGATTCTGAGTCATCCAGGTCATAGTGATTCCAAAAAAAGATAAAAACTATTTTTTTATTATTGAAAAATCTTCCTTAATGGGAAGCGAAATGTCTTCAAACTTGGAAACAAAGTCCAGTGGATCACATTTATTGCTGTCGCTACAAGCACGCTTAGTGTGAGGGATTGCATTCGAGTCAATGAGTCAATGCAACCAACTGGTTTTCTTTAGGTAGAAAACTTGAATCAGTTTGACTGTATCATCTGGAGAACTGTAAAGTTCCTTGAGATGACTTGTGTTGTGAATTGACGCTATATAAATAAACTGGAATGAATTTATTATGCTACAAATTATCACCTGTGTTTAATAATCACTTTGAAAGACAAATCATACCCGATAAAGGGAAAAGGATGGTAACCAAGCTCAACCTAAATCCATTTTTCCATTTTTAGGTCCAATTGGTTTTTGTTTGTTTTGTTTTTTATAAAAAAGCTTTCTCTTTTCTTAAGGTGGCACGTACCTTATGTGCATGCATAAATACACAGTCCTAATTCTTAGGAAAGATTACAAAGCCCTAACTGTTGTGGCTTCAATTCCACAGTGTGGGTAGTGGGTGAGGGCTAGTGTTTGCAAGTAGGGGGTGTATTGGGAGTGGGCCAAAATGTAATAATTAGAAAGGGTAAAATGTAAAACATTAAATTTACCACCATGTAGTGAATATGGTGTCATGATGATGTTTGTAAAGGACAAGAAACACAGAGACTAACAATGATGGAAGTAAGCAGTTTAAATAATAGAGATCTTGCAGGGAAACTAAGAGCAGGACATGGTTTACAGGCAGCAAAGCAAAGAAACCAGTGGAGAGCGCTGCAAGTCAGTGAGTTTATATACTGAGGGAAGAGTGGAGAATAAGATTGGACCCAGCTGAGTTTACTCATGGGAATATGTAAATATATAGAGGATAGCAAAATAGGAATTTGATAAAGTAGCCACATAAAACTAAAAACAAACCACAAAAAACTAATGCTG